CCTCATACCAACCCAGTACTGGTAATTTTTCTTATACAGATGAGGTGTTATTTCTGTACCATTATTTAATTCCAGAGGCTTTTAAGTTATTTTTTTGCACTTGTTGACTTGCAAAAGCCTATATGACATATTTTATTTTGACAATTCATTAACCACACAGAGAAGGCATCGTTTAAATATGTTAAATATATTTCTTTAAGCAAGTTCTTCATGACTGAGCCAAGTGTCCTCTTTTTTTAGAAATCAAAATATGGTCACCCTAAGTTATTGTTTTATTAAAATAACATACATACACATTCCTTGCAATATTGTTCGTCCATGTTTGGTGAATTACTACCCTTAGCATTTTGTCGCCAATATTTACATAATATTATTAAATAAGATTTACTGAAGGGGCAAAAAGGCTTTTCAACTTAGCTAGCTGCTAGCTTTGCTGCTAAGGGGAGAGTGACGTTAAAAATATACATTTCTAAACATTCAATAAATGCTGGCAAGTCATTCTTCTGTACTGGAGACATGTATATTTCTCCTGTCACTGTTGTGGATTTTACATAATTTCCCTAGAGTTATTGAAAAATGTTTCTAGGAGTTATTGTGCAAATTAGCAGTTAGCACACTAGCTGCTAGTCAGCACATCTGTTAGCTTGGTTGCTAACCTAGCAGTATATCATTTTTGTTTAGTTTTTTTTTTAAAAAGAAGAAGAAATGAACTGTCTGCAAGGGTAGTTAGTCCAACAGAAGAGGAGGTTAAATGAAGGTTAGAAAATATAGGAAATAAAAATATACCTTAACTGTACAAACTGACCAAATTTGAATATCTTGTAAACAGCAGCTGGTTGGAAATGAGGGCAAGCTTGGTAAAATGAAACTTTTGCAAATAAAAATCACAAAGAAATGGTTAAGATTTTTAAATTCAATGCTACTGTAAATACTAGAGAGCAAATGGAAAGGTAAAATTGCATTTATGGCTCTCACAAAGCTATAAATGTTACCTTTGGTGAATGGGAATACCTCAAAATACAAACTAAAATGACATAAAGATCCTAGATTCACCATATTTACCTTCCATCTCCATCTCTATTTTTCAGATGAGTCTTGCCCTCGATAGAAGCCAGTCACCTTCGCCAAAATTACCCATCTGATGAGGTCACCACCATTTTATTGAACAATATTATTGTTTTTTGGTCTGTTTTGATCATTTTTTAATTGTGTTTGTTAATACTTGTGGTGTTTTGTTTTCTCTAGTATCAGGATGAATAAGGGACCAAATAAAGGTGCATAATTGTGTTTACTTCACGGATAAAGTCACCTAGTTTATTTTCAAGGAAACTGAGGGAAAGTGACATGAATGTAGTAGCACGTAACCCCTCAGCGGTGCACTGCTGGGTGATGAAGGATCACTTGTCTATGCAATATAATGAAACGGATAAGAGTTATATTTTCTAGGTAATATATATATATGATAGTTTCTTTTATGTTAATGTCCTTCTTAATTTAAGTCAGCACTGCCTCATCACAGAAAAAGAACTCTTGATGTTTGTATCATCTGACTTCATGTGCCTGCTGGAATTGCCCATACAGATGATCTGAAGATCTGTTAATGTGTTTTGCTTGAAGCCTTTCAGAAAACGATCCTCTCAGCAGGTGTTATGTGTTGCATGAACGGGTTTTGGTGCAATGTGTGAGGTGATGAAAGTTTTAATTGTTTTTAAATTGGAGTTAAATGGAATTTTATTGTTGCATGAACAACCGCTGTGCAAAAAAATGGTTTTGTATTGTTATTTTTCTTGGGTGGAGGTGGAGACTGAGAGGAAGTCCCTGAGAGGGCAAAGAGCAAACTGAAACTTCATATTACAGCTGATATCTGACTTTCAGCTGTGCACCATTTATAATCTTGTTATCTTTTGTAATTGAGCGTTTTGATTGGTAAAAGAAGTTGCAAATTCTGGGATTCTGTGATTGAAGAACCTGACTTCAAAAGAAAAAAAACTAATAAACATTACTGAAAAGCGTGTTGGCTCCTCTTTTTTTGTCTGGATACAAACAGACTTTTTTCTGCTTTTCCGTGTCCAATCGGAGTGGTTCCCCTCAAAATGTTCTCAGGAAATCAATTACAATATCGCCTACATAAATACACAAGTTAATAAAAATATAGTATTAAGTATTTTGCTCAGTAAATAATCTCCTCTGTTTCACTTTAGCTATGCTAGAGTTTCCAGTTGTATCACATGAGCTTGATAACAAATTTCACACTTTTCTCAATGTTGTAATTTCATTTTCATTTGCATTACACTCACTTGCTCCTTTGGTGTTAGTACTAGTGCCAGCACCTAGTTAGACCTCCTTTTTGCCTTTAGGACTGCCTTAATTCTTTCACTCAGTTGAGTTTGCACATCAGTGATGAGCTTTATGATATGGTCAGTAGATGGATACACTGTGGTCATAAAGGGACGGACATGGTTAGGAATAATGCTCAGGTAGACTGTGGTGTTTACATGATTCTCACGGTACCAAAGAACACAAAGTTGACCAAGAAAATATACTCCACACCACCATCAACACCACCATCACCAATCAGCTGTTAACACAAGTAACACATTTTTATGTAGCCCACTATTTGACTCATGTTTCATATATTAAACTCAATCAATTTGGTTTATTTTATTTTAGAACTGACTCCTTTGATACTATTTTGGTGCAGTTATTAGTCTACTCATTTTACTTGCTGGATTCAGTACAGTTTCTAATATCTGGAAATGTTTTCTTTTCTTTTTATTAGTTTCAATGTTTTTTTCTTTTGGTCTTTTTAGTTATTATAATATGGAATATGGTATTTGTCATCGTTGTGGCCCCTGGGTCTTGAACCCAAGGCTTTGAGTTTGCTGTCAGTTCATTATTTCTTCTGGAATTTGAGAAGTAATTTAAGTTCATTGTTTTCTGTTAATAGTGTTTGTATTTCCTGGCGATATCTTCTGATGCCTGGTATCGGTTCCTTATTTGTTTTGGTTTTTTGTGCCTGTAGTCCTTTGTTTGCTTATGACTTTTGGTTTATTTGCTCTCTTTTGGTGTTCCTACTCTGTTCTGTGGTTGTCTCTGTATCTCTGTGGTAATTTTACATGTGAGTCTGTTATCTTTTTAGTTACATCCTGTCTTAGATTGCTGGTCTTTCGTATCGAGTTTAACATCCTTTGTCTTGTCATCTCTTATTTGTTCCCTTCTTTAGTGTCCCAGGCTTGTCTGCATTTGTCCTTTGCCTTCCCAGTTCCCAGTTCGAGTCCACCTGTTCTTTCCTATGTTAAGTTAACTTTTGTTACTCGTTCAGTTGTGTTTTCCTGTTTTATTGTGCTAACTGTTGTTTTCTGTGGTTTGGGTTGTATTTACTTCCCCTGGCTCATTATGTCTATAGTTTCCAGCCGTGGATCCCACCCGTTGCCTCTCCCATAGTTATTCTGTGAGCACACATTTCAATTTCCTTATGGCTTCTTGAATTATGATTCCTTGCTCTAGCGTTTTTAGGGTTTGAAATCTTTTTGGATTGTTTGAGTTCTGCGCAAACACACGATTAACTGCCTTGCAGACACATTGTTCTCAATAAACTACAGCTGAGATTATTTTAGTTACCTAAAAAGAATAAAGAATCCTAAACAAGGAGTGAAATCAGCAGTCTGTTGGGCAAAATGAAAACTAACCAAAAGGATTTTGAGAGCTCAAAAACTAAAGTAAAATTTAAAACACTTATGGAAAATGTCTTTCACTTTGGTCAAATTTGTTATTACATTTAGGTCATGCCGCTTTTTATTGGATGTTTACATCAATGTGAGTCAACCACCGTCAGAGTGTAGCTGTTTATAATGTAATACCTTTTCTGAACTTTTGAAAAGTGCACCCCTGAATAATATCCTCCGAAATATAATAATAATTAAAAATAAAAGTCAAACTAATGAAAAGGAAGGCTAACGCTAAACTCAAATGACAAAACTTTGTGGTCTTTACTACGTCCACCTGTAGTGAATAAATGAAAAGCATGCTGTGTTGGGTTCAGACCACTCAAGAATATATCATGTCTTTGCCTTGAGAAACCCTTGGGTTGCTTATGCGGTATGAGCAGGAACTAAACGTGCTGTTCCTTTTAGCCTTGTGGCCTATAGTTGCCTGCTCAAACATGTAATCAATAGTTTACACATTGTTGTAAACTCTGTCAGTGCGCCCCAGGGCAGCTTTGGATACAATGTAGCTTGTCATTGCCAGTGTGTGAATGTGTGTGTGAATGGGTGAATGACTGAATGTAGTGTAAAGCGCTTTGGGGTCCTTAAGGACTAGAAAAGCGCTATACAAATGCAGGCCATTTACCATTTACCATTTGTAAACCTTCTGTATGTACCTTCATGACAGCATCTGTTGATTGTAGACCTTGAAAATGACCTGCATCCCTCTCGAGATTTTGTTAGATGTGATGTTGCCAAGCTTCTTTCTAAAAACAAACCAGACTGTTGATTTGGTCACTCATAAATTTTGGCTGTTTCTCTGACAGGCTCACCCTAAAGATGGCGTCCCTTACTAGCATTTTTTTATGATTAGGATACCCGATTACGACATGGTACCCAAATTCAAGAGTGGATTCAGTGTAGTCTGTTCAAGCCATGTATGCTATGTCGGTGTCATGAAAGCACCTCTTGATCGTAGTCTTATTTATTAATGACCTCTGTGTGAGTGAGTGTAACATCAGTGACATCAAGAACACTGCATTTAACCTTGTTCTTGTAGTTACCTGCAATGCCTCCAGTAGATAAAGTTAATAAAATACGATGTTAGAAGACGATTCAGAAAATAATATTAAAATACACGATTATTGTTGCATTTTCGCAGCTGTAAAAAGTGGTATCAGGCATGTTTTTATGTAGACTCGGGTTACAATGTCGAACAAACCCGCCCTTTGTGAGGTCATCAGGCCTAACAGTGACACCCCGTGGACGGGGGCGGCACTGCGCCCTTTGTCTCGGTCACGTAGCTGTTTACGGAAACATTTTCACGTCCGCACGTGCACCAGTTTGTCACTTCTGCAAGGTACGTGAGGGCTCGCGTGCCCTCGGCTCGAAGGAAGGGGCAGGCTGTGCTCGGTTTTTCTCCCGAAATATAAACGAGTTCAAACTTAATGTGTGTCGAGCGATGAGGACTGTGCTCTGCAGCCATCGTGGAGAAGTAGGAGGAGGTCCGGGCTTCATTTTGCCCGTCTGACCTCGCGCGAACTGTGCAGAAGTTGTCGTCAGCTAAAAAGGCCCAGCTGGGTTGTTTGTGTCACTCCTTTGAACACGGAGCGGATTTGTGACGCGTGGAAAGATGATTTTTAGGAGCATTCACTCAGGGACCTGCAGAGCATGGCTGTCCCGGGTGAGTCGACGTTTGTTTTCACACTTGCTGTCAAGCTAAAAGTCTGAAGCCTTGTTATACTCTTTCTGCGTGAGCAGAAACGGATGATAAACGGACAAGAAGCAGCGGGTGTTGCTTCCACTGTCATATCTTTGACTCCTTTTCTTGAAACGCCCTGCACTCTCTGGCATTTGATCAAACGTCTGAGGAAGTTCCTGCACTGTGCTCACATGCACTTACTGCTCTTTCAGCATTTTCAAATGAGGAACTCTATTTCACCTCTTCACCTTCCACCTGCAGGTTTCCCTGAGGCAGGAGCTGTGTTTCTTCTCCTCGGTGCCCCCACAACCGGTGCCTCCTCTGGCCCAAACCCTACAGGGCTACTTGCGGGCACTGGAGCCCCTGCTGCCCCCCGAGGAGCTGAGCCACACCCGTAAGATGGTGCACGATTTCGGCCGGGCGGGCGGGCTTGGTCTACAGCTGCAGGAGGGTCTGGAGAAGAGAGCCAGACTCAACAAGAACTGGGTGTGTAGCGGAAGGGGAAAGAAGTGACTCAATCAATGAAAAATAAATTGGTGACTCCCACATGAGCCCCTCAGAATCAGTTAATTAGAATAACTTATTAAAAAATCCCCCTGATTATTTGATTATTATTTCTTGGCCACTTGTAGACAAAACATTAATTTGGTGATGTTTTGATGGTTTGGACGTTTTCTCTCAATAAATAGAGAGAAAAAAACAGTAAACTAATAATGGTTGAGGAAAAACAGCTTCTGTGCAAGCCTAAATGTGTGATTTGATGGTTTATAAGCTGGGTAACTTTATTCAGAAATTAACTTATTAGACCAAGCAGCATTTTTCCAGTCTTCTGTTGCCCAATGTCAGTGAGGCCATGTAAATCACCATTTCCCCCTCAGTGTATATCTACGCTACGTTGCAAAACAGTGTTTCAAAATAGTTTTTTTCCCCTATCGATTAAAAACAATCACTAAAATAAGCATTACTTTATGATATTGTATGTATTTAGCTCTTGTTCTGCATTAAATGAACTTATTATTTCAAAGTTTAGGGAAAAATGTTAAAACGTATACCCTATTGTCGGGAATCAAAGAGGAGTCATGTCTTGCTTCTTGTCTGTGACTTAACTTTGCATCAAAAGTCTGTTAAAAGCTTTGAGGTACACACACACAGACTCCAGTAAAAACACAAATCAGTGCCTTTGTGGTTTTGGTCCTTTTTTTTGAACTTCAGAGCTGACTTCCGTGCCCTTCCTTTGGTCTTCCCTGCAGATCTCGGACTGGTGGGTGCAGCGGGCGTACTTGGAGAGCAGACAGCCTCTGCCCGTGCACTCGAACGCAGCTATCTCTCTGCCCCGCAGAGATTTTAATGACTGGAGGAGCCAGCTGGTGTGAGTCTACATAAACTGATGTAGAGAGACAGCAGAGAACAGCTATGTGGAAGTGATGGTGCAGAAACCCGTTTAATTAAAATTAAACATTAAAGGGTGAGATGCTGATGTTAACTCACAAAGTTGACATCAGCATCTCAACGCTGAAGATGTGTTGGCCCGCGCTGTATGTATTTTGAACACTCAAAGCCTCACAGTTCATAGCGTGTAAGCCATTTTTAGATTTCAGTACAACAGCAGCAACAGGTCTTTGTAGTGTGTAAACAGAACAGAAGTGTTAAAGGACACAGAAGCAAAAGGGTTTAGTTAAGTGTTGCTGTGTCATCATGCATTTATGATCCTGATACTCACACCTGCTGTTTTTATTTTTATCATTTAAAGCTTGCAACATGATCTCATGCTCCTCTGTGTGCCAAAGTTGTTACTGCCTCTGTTGACTTATTTCAAAAGACAGACGCATAAACTGAATAGGCTCAATCTGTGAGATTGAAAAGGGGGTCCGTTTTACTTAAATCCTTTAGATCTCATCGCCTGGAAAAAAAAAAACAAAAAACATGAGTCATGCCATTAATGATCTCTGAGGTTTCATCGTGCTGCTTGGTTTAGCTGAATATGATTTGTGTTTATAGAACCGCTTCGTGTCTGTTTCCCTGCAGGTTTGCGTCCAGACTGATTGCAGCCGTTCTGGACTTTAAGGCCAAAATAAACACGTAAGTCTTAATTTATGCAACATGTTTGTACCGCCTAACATATGGACATGGCAGGACTTCCCTTTTCTGCTCTAAAGGCTAAAAATGCTGAGGACACTGGTACAAAAAGTAACAGCATTGTCTCCAGTGAAAATAGAAAGTCAAGTTTTCAGCAAGCATTCGCTGGACACTTTATTAAGTACAGCTTGTTAGCTACATGAATGCTTTTTAGCACAGATTGAACAAGGAGCTGGAAACATTTCTGAGATTTCTGACCATATTGATGTAGTAGCATGCCATGTGTGATCTTCTGTTGCTTCAAGTTCTCACAAGGTATGCTCTTCTGCATACCT